GCACGTTATATAATTGTACCAGACACGCATATTACTATATTCGACACGTGTTACTCTACCAGACACACGTTATATAATTGTACCAGCCACGCATATTTCTATATCCGACACGTGTTACTCTACCAGCCACACTTTATATAATTGTACCAAACACGCATATTACTATATCCGACACGTGTTACTCTGCCAGACACACGTTATATAATTGTACCAGACACGCATATTACTATATCTGACACGTTTTACTCTACCAGACGCACGTTATATAATTGTACCAGACACGCATATTACTATATCCGACACGTGTTACTGCTGTACTGTACAAGACAAACGCATGACTGCGAAAGACGCCCATTAATATGCCAGACACTCGCGTTAACGTTGTTGTGTCAGACAAACACGTTAATAAACAAACACACACGCTACTCTATCAGTCAAATGCGTAACCGTGCGATATACAATGAACGTTACTATACCAAGACACGAGATCAGTGCAAAACATGCACGGTACTATATCAGTCAGGAATTCAGTTTAGTAAATCCTTGTTGTCCCTTCGTCATGCTTATTATCATTGTTATCATTCTACTATGTTAATAATTGATTTGATTTGTGATTAAAATCCAATCAAGTGTTCAGTTCTACAATACAATGCCATTGGAATTACACGTGTAAAAGATGTGCATTGATTAGGTTGCCTTACAAGCGTCATAAATAAATTTAAAAGAGCGAAAAGAAAAAGGTGGTGCTTTGTAAATGATGTCATTTATTCCTATTTTGCTGTCATTAATTACATTTAATTGTAGATTTACGTTTCACCTGTCAATCAACAGGTGTATACAAAACAGTAGAGTGCTGTTACATGTATATAGCTAAAGCAAGCCTGTCAGTGAACAATATCTCTCATAAGGAAAACAGTACAGGTTTACATCAAAACTATTTCAGTAAACAACTTCTTTGTGGGAAAACAGTACAGGTTTATATCTATGCTCTGCTAGTACATGTAAATAGCATTAGGTCTGTATCCTGTACACCAAACATAAACAAAATAATTAAAATGTTTGTAATAAATAAACCAAGAGTTGTTTACTTACGGCTCATTAGCAATGCTAACTGTTGTTCAATATTTCTATGTATCTCTGTAATGATTGTGTACAAACATGGTGAAATGATGCTTTAAATATAACTGCCTCAGCAGCTTACACAAATGTCACCATTTTAATCTCAACAAAAGTCACACATAATTCACTTTCATCAATTCCATCTTGTACATTGTAATTCTACATGGATTCTACAAACAACCAGGGTTTCATTAACAAAGCAGACATACATTGACTGTAGATCAGTAAAATATATCTCAACTATTTCCCGGGGCTCGAACCCGGGACCTTCCGAACTCTAGACGGACGCTCAACCAATTGAGCTATCTGGTCGCCGAGGTCGACCCAGTCCTATACTACATACATTAGCAGATTTCTGGAGCATGTTGGATATTCTCAACATTTTACGTCTAACGTTGTGTAAAACATGCACTAATCAGAGCTACAAAATGTAAGCACGTGATAGCACTGAAGCTGTACAGCAGACAGTACACAAGGTCTTACTGCTAACAAACTGAAGGCTGAGATTTTCTGTATTGTTGTCCTAAACAGTATTCCCTCTGAAATCTAGATTTGGGGGTATATTTGATACATTTTCAGGATTATGAACCCCTAGGTACTTAGTTACAAAGACCGATCCTTGGAAACTAGGGTGTACGACCAACTGCTGTGGGGGTGATCATGATGATGAAGACCCTCATCATTTGAGGGTTTCTGGGAACACTGCTATAATATGTGTGGTAAGGGGGATAACTCTAATTCTAAATTGGCTGAGATATCGTCCAAGCTCAAATCAGTATGCCTTCACTTTACTGCATGGGAGCTGTATGTGATGCAGAAACTCACAACCACTATCAACCAATCAGCTTTGAAATTCTTTTACAGTATGACAAACTAAAGGTATACAGTATGACATTTTAACGGTTAACAGTATCACAATTCTAAAGTTGACAGTATGGCACATTTATTACACAGATTTTCAGAAGGTTTAAACATACACTTATTTACTTGTTGGAGTTTTATTTCCTTGGTCGATATATACAACCTACACATACAGGTATACATACAATATGAGCCAATGTTGCCTGCCTAACAAACTGAAAGGTAATAATAGTAACACTCTAAAGCCAATGGTTTATACAGGTACAAGTGATAGTAACACTCTAAAGCCAATGGTTTATACAGGTACAAGTGATCTGTAAAGGTCACTTGTTTAGGATCCTCTGTACTTACAAACATGCATATACAATTTTGGGGATTTTTGCAGTGGTCATTTACGTTTCAATTTTTTTCAAATTTTATACAAGGCATACAACCACACATCATCTGTCTTGAGTAACAATCATCCATACACCATTCACTACGTAAACAACTCGTCATCCACACGATATTCACTACGTAAACAACTTGTGACAACAGTTTTGATCTCCTCAATGTTTCGTCCCTGAGACAGGAACAGTAATAAAGAGGGAATGGAGTTTTATCAGAAACACTTAAGATGTTAGGAGTAGGATGTCCAGCACGATCGACAGCCAGGGGACAAAATTACACAGCGGTGTCTTAGGTTTCATTATAGCAGTAACATTGGAGCCTTCATTACTTAGTTCAAACAAAAACTCACTCCTTCCCACTCTCTTTACTACACTCACTTGTTATCAGCGACATGATAACCCTTACTGTTCATCAATTATAGTACAGCACTAACTTACTATCAGTAATGTTACAACTCCATCCATAATACTGTAATACTTTAATATAATCAGTAATATTATGATACAATCACCATCAATTATAGTACAGCACTAACTTACTATCAGTAATGTTACAGCTCCATCCAAAATATTGTAATACTTTAATATAATCAGTAATATTATGATACACTCACCATCAATTATTATGACACTTGCTCATCTTACATCAACAGTAATCAGTGACGTAGAATACATGTATGCTTGTATGCTCAAACATAGACTAAAATTTTCGAGAAGATTTTTTATCATATATTTTTATCAATTTATTTTTTATGATTGATATGGACCGTCCGTATCAATCACAAAAAGGAAAGAAAACAAGAGGCCCATGGGCCTTAACGGTCACCTGATATATTTATACAGAGTTGATTTTGATTTTAACATGAACAAAAATATTATTCAAAGTGACAAAAAACAATAAAACCACCTTATTCAATATCTAGCTTACAGATTTAAGACTAAAAAAGTATTTGAAACTAGCACCTCTGATTCTAAACAAGGAAAATGAAGAAATTTTAGCACACTGACGTCTTTGGGCCCCACCATCCAGCCCTTGGAGGTAGGGCTGGCTCAAAAATGTTCAAAGTATCAAACTGTCAACTCAGGGTTATAATTCCAATCAAGTTATTAACATGTAATATTCAAAGTATCATTTGCCATTATAAACCATAATAAATTCTACCATATCTGGGTCTTGAGAAGAAGATTTTTGAAATGTCTTCAATTCAACCCTTTTTGGCCCCACCCGTCAGCCTCTGGGGGTCAGTCAGGGCTCATATGTGCATACCATCAAACTGCTACCTAATACTGATAATTCTAACCTAAATTGAATTACTTCCAATGGAAATTGAACAAATGTTGGTCCAAAATGTGATTACCGCAGGGACATGAAATTCACAATTTTCAATTTCACAATTGACCTTGTAGACTTTGTCTCAGGTGACCTAAAAAATCTTCTTGAAAATTTTAGTCCAACGAAACATATTATCCCGTATTGTTCTCAGATAATCATTTCAAGGCCCTTTTTAGCAAGTAAAATTGTTACTTGTTAATAATCAGACTAAAAGGTGTTCCAAGAACACGGTAGATTGCTTCTAGGGTCCAGTAGAAATTTCTCCAGCTATGTAATAAGCATACACTCCCAACAATTATTTGCTACGCCACTGGTAATAATCATCCTCCAAATTCCAGGGGTGACACTCTCTTACATGTACCTTCAAGGCACCTCTGAATGTGTCATGACAAAATCAAAGTTCTGTACAGGTCACCTTGTAGAGGAGTCAGGGGAACTAATTTGATCCTTTTATGTGTACATTAAAAGAGTTGTGTGGCAACATAATGGTAAAATTGACTGACCTCCAAGTCAGGTGTTCATGTAAGTGAACATTACCCCTGTGGTTTTGAGGATGCAATAATATTACAACACTTGCTTCTTATCAGTCACTTCACAGCATCCTTTATCACTAATTATCAATTATAAATATTCGATTTACATGGATATTTTTTATACCCTTAAATAATTTTCATGCCAACTCCTTAATCACAAAGGTCATTGGTGACAAAACCAACCAATCAGATTTATAAAACGAAGTAAAATCATCCAATCAGACTTCTTGTTTTGACAAACTTCATTAATTGTTGAATTCATTGCATTGTTAGAACACAGTCTGTGAACTGATCATCCAGTTATCTGTTTGATCAAGCCTGGTTATCCGACCAACTCAAATTCTTCATCACTGTCATTTTGTGCTCTTACTTCGGTGAAACCTGTAAATAGTTAACATCAAAGAGATATAAACCATAGAAAACTTAATCAACGTTCAGTATTCTGTACTATTAAAAGAAGCGTTTAGATGATGTGTTTGCGCAGTTGATAAAACCTTAAAACAAATTCTAGAACCAGTTGTCTAATGAGCTTATTAGCTAAGTACCAACCCATGTAGTGTATTTTGTAGCATACAATGTACCTATCTCTAAAGGATCTTAAGGTCAGGGTGTGAATGGAGGATCAAGCACAGAAACAGTATAATATTCTTTTGCTTTAACTACTGTAGTGGAGTAGATTTCTAATTTTAAGAGCTTTTTTGCTTCAAATATTGTGATAATTATGATTACACTAATTAATGTTTGTATATAATGTTCTATAGCACATGTTGTGAGTGTGCCAATTCATCAATCTCATCTGTTAACAATTCATAATCTGCTAAAGTTTGTGTCCTTAAAGGTAAGAACTTTTACAGAATTCGAGAGTGTGGTGATTAGACTAGTATAAAGTTAAAATGCGGATACTGAGTACTGACAAATATGTGAATACTGAGTACTGACAAATATGTGGATACTGAATACTGACAAATATGTGGATAATGAGTAATGACAAATATGTGGATACTGAGTAAAGACAAATATGTGGATACTGAGTACCTGGTACTGACAAATATGGATACTGAATACTGACAAATATGTGGATACTAAGTTAAGACAAATATGTGGATACTTAGTACTGACAAATATGTGGATACTTAATAATGACAAATATGTGGATACTTAGTACTGACAAATATGTGGATACTTAATAAAGACAAATATGTGGATACTGAGTACTGACAAATTTGTGGATACTGAGTACTGACAAATATGTGGATACTGAGTACTGACAACTCTGCGGATACTGAGTACTGACAACTCTGCGGATACTGATTACTGACAAATATGTGGATACTGAGTACAGACAAATATGTGTATACTGAGTACAGACAAATATGTGGATACTGAGTACTGACAAATATGTGGATACTCAGTACTGACAACTCTGCAGATACTGAGTACTGACAACTCTGCGGATACTGATTACTGACAAATATGTGGATACTGAGTACAGACAAATATGTGGATACTGAGTACTGACAAATATGTGGATACTGAGTAATGACAAATATGTGGATACTGAATACAGACAAATATGTGGATACTGAGTACCTGGTACTGACAAATATGGATACTGAATACTGACAAATATGTGGATACTGAGTAATGACAAATATGTGGATACTGAGTAATGACAAATATGTGGATACTGAGTAATGACAAATATGCGGATACTGAGTACTGACAAATATGTGGATACTGAGTAATGACAAATATGTGGATACTGAGTACTGACAACTCTGCAGATACTGAGTACTGACAAATATGTGGATACTGAGTACTGACAAATATGCGGATACTGAGTACAGACAAATATGCGGACACTGAGTACTGACAAATATGTGGATACTGAGTACTGACAAATATGTGGATACT